TGCTCCCCGCCCCTCTGCCTGTGCACCCCACCTCCCCATGAACAGACCCTACCCCCTCAACCGGTCCGCAACTCAGAAAAGGTTGGGGACCACTGCTCTAGGGCATGTACAATGGTGCAATTCTGGCATGCATACATCAGAACCCCGATACCCAACTACATTTTACATTTTCATGTATACATATATATTTTTGTCACTACAGGATGGAAGAGGACCTTTTTCAATTAAGCACCCTTTTCCCCCAGCTAATTGTATTTTTTTTTTAGTTAACAAAAATCCTCTGTACCAANGGGACTTTTTTCAATTAAGCACCCTTTTCCCCCCAGCTAATTGTATTTTTTTAGTTAACAAAAGTCCTCTGTACCAAACTTTACATTGCATTAATTTTTTTAAAATGAATTTGGAAAAAAACCCTATAAAAATTAAGAAAAATGTTTAAAAAAATTGAAAAAAACTATAAAAATTAAATATGCAAATTAGGAGTGTTGCCATAAGCTCCTTGGAGGAAAAGTAGGATATATGTAATATATGTGGAATAAAGAATTCCAATAAAAGTAATATTTTGAGCTTCTAGTTCCTACAGTTCTCTTGTATTCTCCCATCCACATACTTAGCTTGACAGAGCCATCCATTCCTAGTAAGATATTGTCACTTTTGATATCCCGGTGAATGACCTGGTTGGAATGGAGGAATTCCAATGCCTGAAGACACTGCACAGAGAGAGAGAGGGAGAGGGAGAGAAGGGGAAAATATACCCTGATAATTAATGAAATAAGGAACACGGAAAATGATGGAACTATAGAGGGGAGAAATGTATAAACAGGTTGCTTGATACCAAGTCACACTACAACGGATGGGGCAAATTTTGTTGAGTTGTCACCCCTAAGTCGTGTCCACTCGGCCATTTAAGGCACAGATGAGACGGTCTGCAGCAGAAACACCAACCCTTCTTCGTAAAAAGGAAGCAAGAGCAGTCGGAACATACTTGGTCTTTTTTATTTCTCCAAGAATTCACACAAAATGACTGCCATTGGGCAAATGCAGATTCCTTCTCTCTAGAACTGTGCAACGTACCTCTTCCCCATCAGGAAACACGGCAGGTCCCTGGAAATGAAGATGTGCAATTAAAACTCTTACCTCCCGACACACGGCGGCAATCTGTCCTTCGTCCATGCAGGTTTCGGTCACCACGTCCGTCAAGGAACCGCCGGCCAAATACTCCATCACGACCCACAGCTCATCCCCCACGAGGTAACTGCGGGTAAGGCAGAGAAACAACAGAAGGGCCTTGTGTTACCTTTGCCGGCGTCCCCATAAACACACCTCTGAATGCCAAGTCTGAGAAGAGAGCTATTTTTAAACACCCAACGAACCAGCAGCACAAACCGTCAGTGTTCGGGAGCCGCCAGAATGTCAGATATAGGTGGCATTTGACCGTAACGTGCGCCAGATGGCCAGCAGGAAATTCCTCCGTCTCCCTGACTCACCGGGAGGGTAAAATGAAAGGACACCTTGTGTTTAATCTATCAGAGCACCCAGGAGAGGGGTGGGGGTGGGGAGAAAGACTCCGGAGCTGAAAAATAGAAGGTTTGTAAGGACAGTAAAGGTTTCTCCCTGCAGTGGAAAAAAGAGCCGTTGCTCTTCTTGGTTCAGTTTTCATCCCAAAGGGAGACTGCCACCAAGAAATCATGAAGGCAGCTGAGACTTTATAGGGCAGCAATGAAGGAACTAGAAAGGTGGTTTTTCAAAATTATTTATTTATTTGAAATATTTTTACCCTGACTTTCTCCTTAAAGATGACCCAAGGCAGCTTCAAGATCATCAAGGGTAAGGATGTGTCACTGGAGATAGGAGCAGCCATGCTGTCATCTTGTGTCGGTGAATTCCACAGTGTAACTATGGATTGTGTGTTGATGCAGGAACAATGAATATCTTTCCAAGGAAACGGCTATCGAAATGATCTCCACTGGGGGAAAGGCAATACGCAGGCTGCCCCCATCTCCCAAAGGCATTATATGGGCATGTACAGTGGTACCTCGCTAGATGACAAACCCACTAAACGACAAATCTGCATAACGATGGAAGGCAATACACAGGCTGCCCTCATCTCCCAAAGGCATTATACGGGCATGTACAGTGGTACCTCGCTAGACGACAAACCCGCTAAATGACAAGTCCGCATAACGATGACTTTTTGCGACTGCTATATTGATTCGCAAAACAGTCATTCAAATGGGCGATTTTTGCTGGAGGATGATTTGGTCCGTGCTTCGCAGACCGTTTATTCGCAAGACAATAATTTCTACAGCTGATCAACAGCTTCGCAAAATGGCTGCCTATGTTTACGGAACCTATGCTTCGCAAGACAGCCATTTTAACAGGTGATCAGCGCTTCGCAAAATGGCTGCCCTATGGGCGATCTTCACAAAACAATGAGGTATTTTCCCCATTGGAACGCATTAAACGGGTTTCAATGCATTCCAATGGGCAACTGGTTTTCACACGACGATGATTTCGCTAAACAGCGATTTCTATGGAACGGATTATCATCGTCATGCGGGGCACCACTGTAATACAATCCCCAAGCCTTATTTCTCTCCAAGTATGCTGGTGTGCAGCTATGAACAAAGATATACAGTATTCAGTTCTAAGATGATTATTACAATTTCCCTTCCCCATAAACTAAGAGCAGGCAATGTAGAGTAGTAACCCATTTCATTCTATGGGAAAACATGCACTGTTATGGTGGCCACGCAGTCAACTTCACGGACAACAGAGTCCAGAAAAGTTACCTTTTTTGGACCGCAACTAGCTAAAAACCAAGCCAAGCTACAATCTGTCTAATGTTTAGAATAGCTCTGTGAAGTTTAGGAAGGACCGTAAATCCTCTCGGTCACATGCCTCCTAAATATGAGACGCTAAAGATAAAATAGCAAGGTTGGCTAACCCTGGTAGTCTGGAGAGCTGAAGCCCCAGGTCTTTTTGAGTAGCTGGTATCAGGCTTGTCCATTTTCTCTGAGTTTAAGCTATAGTTTTCAGACGTAGACAGGGGAGGAATGGATTTTCCCAGGAGCAATGTACAGTAAAGGTAAAAATAAAGGTAAAGGTTCCCCTTGACAATTTTTTGTCCAGTCGTGTCCGACTCTAGGGGGCGGCACTCATCCCGCTCTTCAAGCCATAGAGCCAGCGTTTTGTCCGAAGACAATCTTTCCGTGGTCACATGGCCAGTGTGATTTAGACACGGAACGCTGTTTACCTTCCCACCAAGGTGGTCCCTATTTATCTACTCGCATTTGAATGCTTTCGAACCGCTAGGTTGGCGGGAGCTGGGACTGGCGGGAGCTGGGAGCTGGGTGCTCATTCCGTTGCGTGAATGTACAATAGGACACCCGTATCTACAAGATCAGGATCAACTGATTCACTTATCCATGGTTAAAAGAAAAATTCTAGAAATATGTTTTGAAAGATGAAGTTACCAGAACTGACCACTAGAGAAAGCAAGAGACTATAGCATTTGCAATTAAAATAGTGTTTGCTATGATCCATATTTCTCAGCATCCACATGGGGTTTTGGAACCGAACCCCCATTGATATGGGGATCCTACTGTACTATTCTGACATCACTGAAGGAATTGCAATGTCATTTATCCAGACATTTCTTCATTCTATTACTGTATTATGCTCAATGTGTCTGTCCAAAAGTATCATAAGATCTTGACTTGATGATGATGATTTCAAGGAACTCATTGCATTGCTCATTGCTATATGCCAAGCCGTCTATCATCATCATTTTCTGACCATAAAACTAATCTGTTTTATTATTCATTACTGCCACAATGTGATGTTGTTAGCAGCATCCTAGGCGGGGAAAAAAAGAGGAAAATACTTTGTAATCTTCTAGCTCTACAGAAGCTGAATACCGATTGAACACGTTTGAATTCCAGCTGTCTGTCTTCGTAACACACTTCCAAGGCAGCTTACAAGAGTCACATAAAAGAAACCTCAAGTAATTCATGTCTTTGAGAATACAGAACTTCATATGTGAATTGTGACTTAAGAAGAGCAGCAAGGGGGTGAATAAAGAAGGAATTGCTTGTGGAACAACCAAAAGACAGCAATATAATCCCAAAGACAGCGTGAACAGAGTTACGCTACCAGCAGCTCTATCGAGGGTTCCTGTCCCACTGGGGCGGAAAGAAAGAAAATATCCGGAGCAGCGTGAATCTTCCTCTCTCACCGGAGAAAGAAGAGCCAAAAAAGAGCTTGAGAGCAAGATGGCAAGGAAAGAGCATCATCCTATGGCTACGACCTTCTGGCCAGCATCTGCTCAACGGACATCCGCTGGGAAGAAGGAGAAAAAGTGAGCACAACTTGGAATGCAGATAAACGAATACTGTGGCAAAGCTGGGAATCTGTATTTGGTTTGCCTTTAAAAAAAATAATAAGGAAATTAGTACATCATAAAGTTGCCAGAATAAACTTCAAAGCAAGTACACAGTGGCCATGGATGTTCAAAAGCTGTAAGGCCAGGCTTGTTAAGAGAAGAGACTGCTATAAGTGCATACCTGAATTTCTATGCTTTCAACAGATATTCATGCTGCGTTATTTATCTTAACGATATCCTGGCTCGGCTACAAGTCTTGGCTAAAGCCAGCAACTGGCTGCAGGTTCTCAAACGCACAAGCCCCTTGTCTGTTTTAATTTTTTTTTCCACTGAGGTTGGATCCTGGCATCAAGTTAACAAGGCCTCAGTGTATTCTGAACAGATGGGTTATGTTGCTGTAAAAACGACCACCCTATTTAGATTACGAAGCAGGAGACGAGAGATTTTTTTTGAAAGCTAACATCTTTGAAATCTGCTGTGCGGGTTGTTAAGAGGACAAAATGTTCCTCTAAACACCTGAGTCAACGGTTTAATTCAAAGTGGATTGGGTCAAACATGGGATATGTACATTTCTTTTACAAGAGACTGTTTTCTAAACAAGAATGCTATTGTATTCGCGAAGGGTCCTATTGGGATAGCACAAGAATGCTATTCCTTTCCAAAACCGATCGCTGCCACCGCCAGGCATAGGCGCTGTATATAAAGCCAGGGGTTCAGAAAGTTACAAAACTCTCCGAATCTCTGGTGGATTCTCGGAGTTGCAGCCCAAACAAGTTACTTTCTGCAAGCTCTGAATTTAGTGGATTTCATATATTTTCAAGAGTTTCCCCATGCGGTCCATGACCCTTTAATGTATGGCAGAAATACTTTTATTTGTGGGTGGCTGTTCTGACTCTTCAGTTTGGTGTTGTTTTCTTGGTTTGATGGCTCTTGTGATTTCATTTTTGGAGTAGCCATTTGCCTTTAGGGATGGTTCAGATGGTTGAGTTCAGTGCTGAGAAATTGAGCTTCACAGTTCTGATTTGCACGGTCTACCAGTGTTTTGATTATGCCTCTCTTTTTTGTTGTGAGTGGTGGTTGGAGTTTTTGTGTAGGTACCGGTCTGTGTGGGTGGATTTTCTGTAGACCTTGTGTCCCAATAGGAGGCCAGTTCTGCTTATGACCATGACATCTAAGAAAGGGAGTTGGCCCTCTATTTCTGGTGAATTGTATCTTTGGATGGATGCTGTTGAGATGGTTTAGAAATCCTTCCAGTTTTTCTGCACCGTGGTTCCAAATTGCAAAGGTGTCATCCACGTATCAGAACCAGACTGTGGGTGCAAAGGGTGCCGAAGCCAGGGCCTGTTTTTTGAAATGTTCCATGTAGAAGTTTGCTATGACCGGGCTGAGGGGGCTCCCCACAGCCACTCCATCTGTCTGTTCCTAGAACCCATTATCCCACTGAAATTCATCTCCTCTTCCAACAGCCACCTTGGAATAAAGCCAATCTATGAGCTGCATTAACACTTCAAAGAAAATGTTGCCTCAGTTGCTCTTCCTAAAAAATGTTTTCTAGCAGGAAGGGGACTTGATATACCTTCTCTGTTGACCACAGGAAACAGCAAGTAAACCAAAACAGTCAAAGAATTCCAGACTTGTATTCTCGAAGGCTTTCACTGCCAGGATCCGATGGTTGTTGTAGGTTTTCTGGGCTGTCTGGCCGTATTCTGGAGGTTTTCCTTCCTAACGTTTTGCCAGTCTCTGTGGTTGACATCCTCAGAGGATAGGAGTCAGAAGACAGAGCACAGGCAGAGCACAGAGTTCTGACTCCTGTCCTTTGAAGATGCCGGCCACAGAGACTGGCGAAACGTTAGGAAGAACAACCTCCAGGACACAGCCAATCAGTCCAAAAAAACTACAACAACCCATTTCAGCTATTTAAAAATAACACTTAGTTTATCTGGGTGGATGATTCTCATTTGTTTTCCCCCTGTGGACAATTAAATAATCTGGTTCGGAACAAATTTCATATGTATAAAATCCTATCCTTTACTTCATCTCCAAAGGTTTGTTTTCAGAAAACTGCCACCTCCCAAAGGAACCTGGGTTTTGTCTGTCTGCAGTTTTCCTCAGGAGAGGTTCCAACCAGATTATTTATTTAAAACATGTCACGTCCTACCTTGTCACAGCTTCTCACTTGGTGAGGATAGTGGATGTCCAACTGAGGAGTTGTGATAAAGGAGCGTTTCCAGTAAGCTACCTACAGCAGTCAACATTGCTTCTTCCTGTGCCTTTCCCCAATGGGAAAGCTTTGTAACTTGCCATGATAATGGGGGATACCTGGCTCCATAATACGACAAGGGGGAAGGATCCTGGAATTGTAGATCACAAGCTGACTATGAGCCAACCGTGTGATGTGGCTGCAAAAAAGGCCAATGCCGTTCTAAGATGCATTAATAGAAAGATAGTCCCCAAATCCCACGAAGTACTAGTTCCACTCCATTCGGCGCTGGTTAGGATGCATCTAGAGTCTTGTTTATCAATTTCATGATAATAATAATGGAGATTCTTGCAGAGGGATGGTGAACATGTTCAGAGCAGGGCAACGAAGATGATCAGGGGCCTGGAAACCAAGCCCTAGGAGGAAAGACTGAACGAAGTGGGCATGTTTAGCCTTGAGAAAAAAAGACTGAGGGGTGATACGATAGTACTTTTCAAATACCTGAAAGCTAGTCCTACAGAGGAGGGGCAGGATCTGTTCTTGACCTTCCCAGACTGCTGGCATAGGTTCCAGGCTGTTCAGCCTCCTGGAAGGTGAGAGAGACCGCTCTCAACTGCAGTTCAAGTCCACCATCCATAAGAACATTCCTCACACTTGATTTCCATCTAAACAATAACCGACTCCCAAACCTCCTTTTCCCAAGACTGAAAACGCACCTGTCCAAATAGTTGACGATGTTGGGGTTCTTGTTTTCCCTCATGACAAGGATTTCATTGATGATCAGACCTTGGGAGATGGCGAGTGCTCTAAACGCTGGAGGTATTCAAGACAAAACTGGACAACCCTGTCAGATGTAATTTGATTTGGATTCCTGCCTATAGCAGAGGACTGGGCTCAATGGCCCCCTTCTAACTTCATGACTCGATGTATCTCTACTCTTATCTCCAATTTCATGATAATAATAATAATGGAGATTCTTGCAGAGGGATGGAGCTGGAGGGGGGGGCGGCCTGGGATGCTGGAGGTGCCCCATCTCTGAAGGAAAAAGGAATCAACAGAGACATAGGTTCCAGGCTGTTCAGCCTCCTGGAAGGTGAGAGAGACCGCTCTCAACTGCAGTTCAAGTCCACCATCCATAAGAACATTCCTCACACTTGATTTCCATCTAAACAATAACCGACTCCCAAACCTCCTTTTCCCAAGACTGAAAACGCACCTGTCCAAATAGTTGACGATGTTGGGGTTCTTGTTTTCCCTCATGACAAGGATTTCATTGATGATCAACTCTTTTTTGGGCTGCTGCTGCAAGTTCATCTGTTTGATCGCCACCTGAAATGTCGGGACGGAGGAAGGAAGAGGAGGAGACCCATTACGAAGTTATTCCTTTCGTTATTCCTTCCCAAGATTGACCAAAATCCATAACCCGATGTGTTCAGCCTCCACAAGTGTGATTTTTCTGGGGGTAAACCTGCAACCAGGTTAGGATCATTTATCCCAGGAAACAATGCCCGGTTTCAAATGGAAGGCACACATTTTTATATATTTCATATCTCAGTGGCTGTAGCCATGTAGCATATTTATCCTTCCACCCATAGCTGAAGACCGGTTATTTTTTTTCAGGCAGGCTTTTAACAATCAGGATTGAGGCCCTGGAAGGCCTTTTTAAAGTTAGGATCGTTTTTACTGTTGACTCACTTTTGTTTATTTAATTGTATTTTAATTAGTGTAGAGTTTAACTGGGTTTTTTTATGCTTAACTTATTATGTTTTTAATTCTAGTCTTTTAATACTTGGGTTTCCTTATTAGGCGGCCTAAAAATAAAGTAAAATAAAATAAACATTCTGAATATTCCTTGCAGGTCTACGTTTGTAATTATCTGAGTCTTTTGGGTTCAAATATATGCCCCTTTCATCCCAAAAAATCACTTTAGGCACAGAATCGGACAGCCACTTACCTCCTGCCCTGTGGCTACATCTATTGCTGTGTAAACAGTACCTGAAGCACTAAAAGAAAACAGAAGAGGGAAACCTTTAGTGAAAACTCTCAAATATCATTTGCCAATCATATGCTTGCACATAATATTATGGCTATATACATTTCAGTATGCTGACTGGACAGCTGAGTGGTATCTGGTTGCGGAGCAAGAGGTTGGGGGTTCGATTCCTCCAGTGTGCCTCCCCAGAAAGAGCCAGGCTGGGTGGCCTTGGGACAGCTGCTCAGTCCCAGAGCGCCCCTAGAGGAAGGGAGTGGTAATACACTTCTAAATATTCTCTACCTAGAAAACTCTGAAGTCAGAATTGACTTGACAACACACAATGATGATGATGATAAATTTTGGTATCTAAGCCACCTAAAATGAAGAGTGGTGAAGGAGCAATAAGCCCATCGTAGCTTGCAGGAGTATGATAGTGAAATAAGTGTGATCACCTGCATCTCTTGTAAATTTCTATTTCTCACTAAATGGAAGTGGGAGAAGTTGCAGCTAGTTATAAACTAGGCTCCACTTTAAAAAAAAACAAGGAAGGAATCACAGAATCGGTCAAGAGGCCTCTTATACTCTGATTTTCATTTAAGAAGCTAGAGTTGTATGCAAAGAAAAGTGGAATTCAGCCCCATGCCAATGCGGCTGCAAAGTTTACTTTAGCACAGAAGAAAAGAGTATTTTTAGCAACTCCACGAACACGTGTGTTTCATATTGAAGGCAGAAGAGGTGGAAGTTGGCATCAATATACTAACCCTTGACCAATCTTCTCAAAACTTGTATATTTCTTCTTGGGGTCCCCCACGCTGACTATACCTCCTTGAAAAAAGCATAAGCAACACTTACAGTTAGGGTTTTATTGTTCTTTGACAAAAACAAAGACTTCTGGAAAGACAGCACACCTCCCCTGCAAGCACATTTAAAGATAAATTTTGCAGAACATGAGCTCACCTATTTGAGCCCTTTGTAAAATCTCGGTTCAACACAGTTCAGCCCGCCTGCTAAGCATTTTTGAGTTGTCTACTTTGTCAGAAGACAAAGAAAGAAAAACATGCATCGGAAATTCACAAAGAAACAAACTCTTCAATGAACTTTGTAGCCTTTAAGCAACTTAAATACTTATTCCCTTAACATAAAGGTGACAAATGTTTGGAACAATTTGACAAGTACAAACTACTAGATCATACTTTTTTTACATATATGGTGGTCTGCTTGGCTCTGTTTCATTCATATGTTCTTCATATGATGCTTTTACTGAGGATCTTACTGGAGATATACCTGTGCATGCACGGTTATTGTGCGGATACCCCATGTGCTGTAGTGGATGGAGTGATGGACTATGACTCTGGAAAACCAGGGTTCAAATCCCCACTAAGCCATGGAAACTCACTGGGGGAGTGGGACTGGTAAAACCAGTCCTTAAAGACTTCACTTACCTTCAAGGCCTTATTAGGGCCACTATAAGTTGGTCCCAGCTTGATGGCAGAAAACAACCAACGCCAAGGAAAACAACCAGCATCTAATTAATAAGTGGCAATTTACCACCATCACTTGTGCAATAGTGTTATCACCAATATGATTCTGGCTAGTGAGGTTCTACCTCCCCTGTACGGTAATTAAATTTTGCCCCCCCATTATGCAAATTGCATGCCAAGCCTGCAAGAGTCAGAGGTGGATGGCAAAATAACATCGGTCAAATTACTAATCCATACTCCAGATGCACATTGCTGTAGCTACGCTAACATTACAAGGCAGCCCATGGCATTCTGCCGCCTGAGATAGCAATGAATGATACTTGTCTGTCCATATTCAGATACACAGAAACCCAAAGCCAAGCAAATTACTCCGGCACATGGGTAGAAAATCCAGTCACCACCACGGGAATAAAAACAAAACAATAAGATAAGTTATTTCAGTCTTTCCTCGCAGGGCTTGGTTTTCAGTTCTCTCATCACCCTGCTGTTTGCTCTGACCACACAAGGGTCTTATTACAGTGGTGCCCCGCATGATGATAATAATCCGTCCCATTGAAATCGCTGTTTAGCGAAATCGTTGTCATGCAAAAATTCCTTCCCCATTGGAATGCACTGAAACCTGGTTTAATGCATTCCAATGGGAAAATACTTCGTTGTCCAGTGAAGATCGCCCATACGGAAGCCATTTTGTAAGCATCCGATCAGCTGTAAAAATGGCTGCCTGCGAAGCATGGGTCTGGAAAACACAGGGCAGCCATTCTGTGAAGCCGACAATCACTGGAAAAAAAATCATCGTCTTGCGAACAAACAGTTCGCGAAGCAAGGACCTAATCGACATCCAGCGAAAATCCCCCATTGGAATGACTGTTTTGCGAATCGCTACAGCAATTGCAAAAAGTCGTCGTTACACGGATTCGTCATTTAGCAGGGTCGTTGTCTTGCAAGGTACCACTGTACATGCAATCATCCTGCATTTTGTAGCATAGTTAGAATACCATTTCACACCTCTTAAGGGCAAAGCGGCTGCTGGATATTTCTGACATTCATTCTTAACACAGCCTTGTGCGGTGCTGTCTATTTAGAGAAGCTGAACTATCACATAAGCACCTCACTGACGTCAGTGTGAGAGATTTCAGAAAGAGGAGCTTTAAAAATATATATATTTCTCAAGCACTGGAAGGACTAAAGCTTGCAGTTCAGCTGACCATCAAGTAGCACCAAAAAAACACAACCCCCCGAAGTGAAGGTGGGAGAGAAATCTTTTTATCTGTAATCAGACAGTGGTGAGGCTACACAGTTGTGAAACTTGTGGTGTGATCTGAGCTGCTGTTATCACACCTCACACATCCCATTTGGGATGAGAGTTTAGAAATCTGCAAGAAAAAGAACTTACTCAGTTTCTCCAAGATCTCTTCATCTGTCATTTTAGGTTTCTTCTTTTGTTTCTCTGCACTCTTTACCAGCGTATCTGGGGGTGTTGTGTTGTTTTCAGAAGGGGAGGGAAGCGGAGAGGTGGCCACATCTTTGGTGGGGGCCAGGGGAAGAGGCTCTATCACAGACCGGGTGTATATCTAAGGTTTATGGAAATAGGGAGAAAATTATATACAGATAGTAGGTTCCAAAATGTGCCAGATTCTAGGATAAACCAGCAAAAAGAAGGTACATCTTTGTAACACTAATGCCAGTGTGATTCACTGGTGGAATTCATGATCACAAAATCCCTCTGAAACACAACTCCAAGCTGATGGCTAGAAAACGGAGTGAGGTTTAGCACGGCTATGAGGCATGATTGCTGGGAATGGAACTTCCAGAGACAGGAGCAGTATAGCCAGCATAGTGACAGAGAGCTGGAGTTTAGGAGTTATTATAACAGTGATTCAGGGCCAGTTGTGTACTTACACATAAACCCCCTCTTAGCCTGCCTTAGCTGTGAGGATAAAGCAGGGAGGAAGAGAGACACATTGGAATCTAAATTTAAGAAATAAAAAAATATAGATCTTTTTGGAAAATGTGGACTAGGGTGAGGGCACAGCTCACTGCCCCTGCATAGGCTGAAAAATTCTTGTCAGCTGCCAGTCATACTGTGTCAAGTCAACCGTGGAGGAACAACCCACTTCACGCCTCCTGAAAGTTCACACAGCGACCTATTGGTAGACAGATAGCAGTCTTATTTTTCTACATGAATAAGAACTTGTTCCTATAAAGAAGCATCTTATTCAGCGAAAGCCAGGTAAGGATGTCAGAGCCAAGTGCAAAAAAAGGGGGTTTATTTGTCCACTGCAGCTTCCAAAATCTCCCAGGCAGGACTGTTAAGTGGCCACACTGGCTAGGAGATTCAGGAAGGTTGTATTCCAAAATACTGTATAGTGGTGCCTTGCTTAACGATTTTAATTGGCTCCAAAAAATTCATCGCTATGGGAAAACATCGCTAAGCGAAACGCGGTTCCCCCATTGGAATGCATTGAAACCTTTTCAATGCATTTCAATGGGGGAGAAAAAAAACACAAAAAAATTCAAAAAGAGTCAGAACGAAGCCAAATTTGGTTAACAAAGGGTTTATTAAGTGCACTAACGATTTCAAGCACTCGAAACCCTTTTAAAACAATTTAACGCATTTTAAAAATAGCGAAAACGGAGCTGTCAAAAACATCGCTAAGCGAAACAGGGGGACCTAAACTGTCATCGCTAAGCGAAGCAAGGTCCCGAACATCGCTATGCGCAATTTCCCCATTGGAAACATTGCTAAACGGAGCGCAAGATTGCTCCAAAAACCTCATCGCTAAGCGAATACATCATTAAACGAGGCAATCGCTAAGCGAGGCACCACTGTAAGTCACTTTTCCAAGCGAAGGGACCAAGGAACATAGAACCCAAATAGTCGCTAAACCACAAATCATGCTGGGGGCCCATTCCCGTGGCCATTTTTGAGCTACCTGCATTGGCTGGATGATGCCACCCCTTCATTTTTCCAAGCAAAGGGACCAAGGAACATAGAACCCAAATACTCGCTAAACTACAAATCATGCTGGGGGCCCATTCCCGTGGCCATTTTTGAGCTACCTGCGTTGGCTGGATGATGCCACCCCTTGGAGAGAACAAGCTACTCAAATAAAAACGTTGACTACAAAAAAAACCACAGAGAGAAGGACGCACAGCTGCCTGATGGTTCTCAGACAACTCACCGACTTTGTGTGCTCGGGCCGAGGAGCGATTACAGGGGGAGGGGCCGCCTCATCCTCGTCGTCCTCATCTTCTGAAACAGGAGGAACAGCGGGGGTCTCGGAGACCGCCTTCACATTCTGCATGGAAATGAAATACACTTAGGATGGAGGAGAGAGGAAGAATAATATTCCTCTGGTTGTGCAGCAGAAGAGCAGAGACTCACAGAGCAGCATGACGTCAAGTCCCCCAATTTAGTTCACCCCCTTTTCTTCTCATCAACTGGCACTTACAGTTTCAATAACCCACTGTGAGACATTAATGCATAGGAAAAAAGTTAACATGTTTGTTCTGGGTTTTTCGGGCTCTTTGGCCGTGTTCTGAAGGTTGTACTTCCTGACGCTTCGCCAGTCTCTGTGGCTGGGATCTTCAGAGGACAGCAACCTGTACTCCATGCATAGAAAAAAATTAACATGTTTCTTTACTTACGGTTAAACAAATCTACAGCAAAACTAACAGATACGACTGCTCTCAACAACAAGCCTCAACAGACTTGACTTCCCATGTTTCTTTACTTACGATTGAACAAATCTACATCAAAACTAACAGATACGACTGCTGCCAACAACAAGCCTCAACAGACTTGACTTCCAACGGATGGACAGAGGGGGGAAAGGGCTCAAAAGCAGGGAGGCAGGTCTGTCTTTGAATCAGAGGCAGGAAAGGAATGACTGGTTACTGCTGCATAGACTGACAGTCACCCCAGCCCAGAAAGTTGATTGGTTACTGCTGGAGAGATTGACAGTCACCGCAGCCCAGAAAGGCCCCTCCTAGCCAAATCTACTAAAGGCAGCATGCAGGGTTGCAAACCCTCTAACAAAACCTACACTCAAAACTTGGTAAAAAAAAATTCTTCATAGAGAAGGGCTAAAACTGTGCAGTAAAGTAGGGGTGTGGATGATAACTCCAGCCTTAAAGACCCAGGCATTTAGGAGCCACCAAAACAACAACAACAACAATAATAATTCTATTGCATTTTTGTCAGAAAATATATTTATGGCTAGGGCAAACTAAGTGCTCTTTTCTGCACAATCATAAAAAGGTGCAAGGAGAATGCAAGATGGCCCTGATTTGCATGAAATGACGTTAAGATAATTTTCAGGTTCAGATGCAAAATTAGAAATGCTCTTTTAAGCCCTATTACAACACACCTCACTCGTGTGGAGAAAGACGGCGGCAGATGGCCTGCAGAATATGCTTTTCAATCCCTGTCAAGCGTAGATTAGCAGAGCTTCAAGATTTTTCCTTTGTGGGGCTCTTTCTCTTTTCAATCAGATGTGGATAGCCTCTCAACTTCTTTTAAAGAGGGATCGTCCTTCTCAAACGGACCATTTCTCATGGGAAAAGAAGGTGTACCAGCTGTAAAGAATCTCCCTGCCCAGTTCTTCACGCGGAGAAGTGAACAAAGAGATGTCCAGATGTACACGGCACAGAGAGACATCTCCTACATGCACCACTACATGACCAGTGTTTCCCAACTTTGGGTCCTTCAAACGTTCTTGGGACTCAAACTCCCAGAAGCCTTCACCACCAGCTCCACTGGCCAGGAGACCTCTGAGAGTTGCAGTCCAGGAACATCTGGGGATCCGAGGTTGGGCACCATGGGTCTCCATCCACCTTGGACGCTTGGAAGGATGGCTTTCCATTGCATGTGAAAAGTCTGTAGGTCTAGGTTTTTCCTTGCAAGTCTTTATGCGCAGCACATATGGCACATGGGCCAGAAGAGTGCGTCTGAACGCTTCAGAGCTGGGACCAGGGAGAAGCCCTGAAAGCAACAATCCCTTTCTACACAGGATGATTTCTTTGCACTTTACCTATGCGAATTGAAACTACCTATGCGGGGTTCAACTGCTTGGTAAACCCACAAACCAGGAAAAGCTACCACCTCTCCCATTTTTTTAAAAAAAACACCTTTTATCTAGTTTCTCATACATTCAGCCTCTGATTTACTACAAGATCCTGTTGATTATTTCTTCCCCAAGAACTTTTCAGCTTGTCCTATCTTACAGGGTTACAAGGTACAGACTAGAGAGTGAAAATGTTTTGGACTCTTACCTCCCAGAATCCTCAGGCAACAAGGATTATGGGAGCTGATACTTCTAAAAATACCTTTTTGCAAGCTTTGGTAGTAGTCTGTCAAAGTTGAAGAAGCGATATAGTATGATCCTGTCTTGGACTACTACTCCCAAAATTACTCATCCAATATGACCTATTTTGACGGGGGAAGATTCTGGGAATAATGATCCCCCCTCTAAAAAAGAAACATTTCTGATCTTTGATATGGTGTAAAAGCAAAGCACAGTGTGCTGCTTATATATTGCCCCACAGCACTTAAAGCACTCTCTGGACAGTCTACAACATACCGTATTTTTCCATGTACAGTGGTGCCTCGCTTTACGATTGCCCCACATCACGATGAAACCGTATTACGATGATCTTTTTGCGGTCGCAAAACGATGGTCTTAATGGGGTTTTTTCGCTTTGCAATGATCGGTTCCCTGCTTCGGGAACCAATTCTTCACAAAACGATGGTTTTAGAACAGCTGATCAGCGGTTTCAAAATGGCCGGCGGGTAAATAAAATGGCTCCCCGCTGTTTTCTGGGACAGATTCCTCGCAAGACAGCCACCGAAAATGGCCGCTCTATGGAGGATCTTTGCTGGATGGTGAGTTTCCAGCCCATTGGAACGCATTGAAGGGGTTTCAATGCATTTCATTGGGCTTTTTATTTTCGCATTACGATGTTTTCATTCTACAGCGATTTCGCTGGAACGAATTAACGTCGTAATGCGAGGCACCACTGTATAAGACTATACTTTTGTCTAAAATCTTTAGACTAAAAATTGAGGGTCGTCTTATACACGGAAGTAAGCTGAGGGGAGAGAAAAACAAATGGAGCGGAAAGTACGGATCAAAGTGATCCTGCAGTACTTTGATCTCTTTCCCCCTACACTTGCCCCACTTAGATTTCTTAATTTGGGGTTAGAAAAGTGGGGGCGTATTATACATGGGGTATCTTATAAAGGGAAAAATACAGTAATTATGCAGGGTATACATTGCAAACACACCCCGTGAGCTGGGTACTCAAGTTGCTGACCTTGGAAGGATGGAAGGCTGATTGAACCTCACACTGTCTACCTGAGGCCAGTATCAAACTCAGGTCATAAGCAGAGTATTCACTGCAGTACTGCAGTTTAACCACTACACTATGAGGCTCCACTTAAGGTGGATCTGGATTCCAGGTGTTCTGATTTACATAGGTAGAAATAACTGCAAATAACTGACATGAAATCTAATTATGGCTGCTTCAGTCCTGCCTAAACTTAATCAGGCATGCATGCTGTTGTTGGTTTTTTCTTTTTTTCTGTTTTGTTTTGTTTTTTGCCTTTTCATGGCAAAAAAGACAGCCTTTGATCTGAACTGGACAAAACAGCTTTCAAAAGTTTCTGAAATTGCAGATATGGGTAAAGTTACAGATTTAGTTTAAGAAAAGATAAACTAATCTTGAATCCAGATCAAAGTTAATGCAAATATTTTAGGAAACATTAACCATTTTGCTGTTTTGGAATCAGATTTACACTTTTGAAAGGTGGACACTACTTAATTTTTTTTCCTATGCAAGTCATTTTGAATTTTTATATTTTTTGGAATCAGATTTACACTTTTGAAAGGTGGACCCAACTTCATTTTTTTCCCCTGTGCAAGTCATTATGAATTTTTAAAATATCTATTCTCCTATTCATTTTTACCCCCTAAAAAGACCATAAGGAGGGGGACTGGTTACTGCACTACATACCAAAATGGTTCATCGCTTGTCTTTAGGAAGAAAAAACAGTTACTGGAATAGATCAAAGACATTCTGTTGGCACAGCAACTTAATTTCACCATGCTAACGAAGGACACAGTGGCCAGCAGCCCACGCCAACTGTCTTTACTGCTGTTTATTAAAATGCTCTGTTTGAAAGACTTCCTTTGTTCGGGACTTGCTCTGTCACACCTGCTGAGTAATGACAATCTCATGTTCCTTTTATAGCCAACCCAACAAAATTCCCATCAATACAAGGGGGGGGAGAGGGAGAGAGAGCAGGGAAAAAAACCTATTATGTCAACTCAAGCCCCAGAAATGGGTGCTCAAAGCGTCTCTGAGCTGCATCTTACTCATCACCAAAGAAATAAATCATAGCCACTCACTTCAAAACCAGATTTTTGTAGGCAGAGGTGAGGAAGTATTTCAATAATACATGCAGATGAAGGATGCAAGGGAACAATACTGTAAATACGGAAAAGTAAGAAATCCAGCACTAGAAAGCAGAAGTTTGGAATTTTGCAGACAAGCTTTGAAAACAGATTCTTATCAAAGCCCAGAACATAAAAGGATTTCATCCACTACAGGGTAGTGCCAACATGGTATTTGCCCAACATGGTATTTGCCTAGACCAAGGCTGTGATCCCAATTGGGGGCCTCAGGTGTTCTTGGACTATAACTTCTAGAATCTCAGACTTCTGGTGTCAAATTTTGGCTTAGTTTTTAAACTGTACTAGATTAACTTTGGGAGAGGCATGATTTCTCTACCTCATCTACCTATCAGGATTGCTGTGAGGGGAAAAAATGTGTGTTTGTGTGTGAGAGAGTGTGTATGAGTGAATGAGTTGAGTGAGAGAGAGATAATAACTCTCCAAAATTCAAAAAGATCTTGATAAGCTCAACCACTGGGCTGAAAACAACAGAACGAAATTTAACAGGGGTAAGTGCAAAGTCCTACATAGGGGTGGGGGCACAAACACATAGTTATAAAACATGGCACACTTGGCTCAGTAATATGATGAGTGAAAAGGATCTTGGAATTGTTGCAGATCACAAGCTGAATACGAGCCAACCCTGTGATGCGGCTGTAAAAAAGGCAAACACTATTTTAGGCTTCATTCGCAGAAGTGTAGTCTCCAAACCCCATGAGATACTAATCTATTAATCACTGGTTGGCCTCATCTAGAGAACTGTGTCCAGTTCTGAACACTAAAATTTTAATAAGCATGATGACCAACTGGAACAAGCTCAGAGGAGGGCAACAAGGACGATCAGG